ATGCAAAAGTGAAAATGACTTGAAAATAAGAAATAAGTTAGTGCATGTAAGATAATCGAAAAAGATAAAAGGTAGTGCATGTAAGATAATCGAAAAAGATAAAAAAGACTATTCAGAGATGAATATAGTACCTACCTCGTCATGGTATCTACCTAACATATTTTATTGAAATGTGTCATACCTAAACATGCTTTATATCCTCATGCTTTTATTTCAAGCAATCAATCCTAACTGCATTGTATCTAGTTCACATGATTTCAGTCGGAAAAAAATTTATTCTATGAATTTAAAGAAAAAATAAATGTTTAGAGTCGCTCCTCCTTATGACCACCTAGTTTAGTACCTACTGACGAATAGAAGTTTGTCATGGCTCTACCTAGGGTGACCAATTTACTTTTCACTATATGCATTATTTTGGCTCTACAAGAAAAGGAACTTGTATTGCCCTTGATATTGGTACCCCCTTGAGTTGCCAAACCCTCGTTCCTCACCTACAGGCTTCAAACGGATTAAGTTCAATTCGAGGAGATCCATTTCCCTATACCCATACGAGAAGATAAATTCCCATGAGGTATAAGACGTGTATCCTACAGGTAAATTGCTATAGCTCATAATGGGAATAAATTTACCACAAAAGCATAGCATTCACCTCTACTTAATTGAGAAGAAGCTCATGTATAGAGCTTATGTCATGTCAGTGCACGTGATGTGTGTGAAGATAAACTCACAAACCTTTGACAGAAACAAAACAAAGATAAATAGTTTCAAAAATTAAAAAAAAAATCAATAAAGTTGTAAACATTAAGTCAAACATCAGTACAACTATTTACATAAATAATGAATAATAAATTAACTAATGTTTAATGAGAAGGATCATAAAATAATTTTAGACTCGAATGCACAATTCCCACCACTGCGACAACGCAAGCGATTAACGACATGACTCTTTAAATTGTCCCCAGTGGATTCACCAAGCTGTCATAACCATTTTTCTTTAAAATTATAAATTAAAAAATAATTACTACTTTATTTTAAAAATTGAGATTTTTTATAAAATGTCATTTAGTTCAATTTGAAGTCGCCATCGATCATTTGGGACAAGTAGGTCGAATATCTAAAAATGTTTTTCAAAATGATTTTAAGAAAAATCAATTTTTAGACAAAAATTGGTCTGAGTGTTACCGGAAATTTATTTTTTAAGGGCATGGAGTCGGTTATGTGTGTGAAAGGATTAGAACTCCCACAACACCCAAAATTGGCACATGGTCGCTTATACGTTGTTGTTTCAGTGGAAATTGCAAATTCGATTAAAAAATTAAAATATAATCCTTTATATTAAAATTGATTAATTTATATCGTTTCACAAAATTACACAAAAATGGACTCGATTTATTTCAAGTTCATTTTTTCGTTAGAATGTCGTATTAAATTGTGCTACCTCGATAGGTTTCACTTTTCACGCTCATTCCATAAAAGACATTCTTGAATATCAATACGAGTACAACAATGAATATGTTATCAAATAAAATGAGTATTTTATAATAATTAAAAAATTAATCTAAAATAAAATGAAATAAAATAAATTATATACATAAATACATAAAGTTCAAAGCATATTACACAAACATATAAAAGGACTAGAAATGAAACAATAAAAATATAGGGACTAGATAAAAAATGAATTAAACTAAAAGTTAACCTTAAAATCTAAGGTTATAATGCAAATAAAATACAAGTTAATAATTTACAAATTGCAAAATAAATTTATTAAACTAAATTAGTATTAGGGTTAATTAATGATACAATTAATTTAGTGATCAAATCTAAATAAAATATAACCATTAAGAAAAGTGATCAAATTGAAAGAAAATATAGTAACATGGGCTAGACATGTACATAATCCATAAAATAAAAGCAATAACTAAAATACAAAGCGCGTGAAAATTGGAGACCAAATTAAAAGATCAAACAACCTCAAATTGAGAGCTAAATTGAATTAAATGGAACCTGGAATGGCCCCTTACATGATTAACTCGAATGCCCAAGACTCAGTTGCCCTAATTCCCGAAACTAAGTCGTTTCGGGATGCCTTTAAATACCTCATTATAAAGTTTTAAGAACCCTAGCATCTATCATTTCTTCTTTTTCTCAAAACGAATTTGAGAGAATTCTCTAAAAGCTTCTCCCTTGACCTCTCACCGGTGTATGACCACGATTCTCAATGCCGACCATCGTCGACCATTTTCACCGGTTGCCGAAAAATCCTAAACGAACCCAAAATGTTCCTTTTTCTCTCCTAAACCCGAATCTTAGGCCACTTTTACCTAAGCCTAGACCTAACAAATAAAACCGAATAGTTTACCTTCTTTGACCACCTAACCTACCATCTAATGGAGCTCTCATCGAGATATATGTTTTCCGACCACGAGATAAAGCTTTTCACCGAACAGATCTTTTATTTGAAGTCTAGAAGGCAAGATTTTGATTTTTTTTAGTTTCAGTACTTCTCTTTTTTCTTGGTTCAAATCTCTTATCCTTTCTCGTTTTTTCAGGTTCAGTTTCTCCCCTTTCTTGTGTTGCTTGTTTGGTGTTTTAAAACCAGTTGCTTGTTTGGCAGAGGCATGGTTTTGACAGTGTGGCGGATAGATTTTTTCTTCTTTAAAAAAATAATTTTGATTTGGTTGGCTTAATTTTACTGATTTACAGATTTGATGATGAGAGAGAGTGGTTTAAACAGTGGCGAGTGTGATGTAGAGCCTCGGCAGAGGCGACGGCATGCTTTGACGATAGCGGCGGGAACATGAAGGCTTAGGGTTAGGTGATTTGGGCTAGGGTTTTGGTTTGTAATTGAGCTTGGCTTTGGGTTTGTAAAATAATAATAATGATAATAATAATAATAATAATAATGATGATAATAATAATAATATAAGGCGAGTAAAATATGATGGTTATACACGCGTGTATACACACACGAGAATGTTGTCTATAAATCTAGAAAATATTTGAGTACACTCAGATATTTATTTATATCCAACACTTATCTCGAATCTAATAAACAAAAGTGGAAAACGAAGAATAATGACATATACATAGATCTATGGCTTTCTAAAATCATTAATTGTCATCGAGGTTTTTGAAAAAAAAATTCTTCAAAACCAAGTATTTTGTTGTCATATTTGAGATCTGGGACAAATTAGGATTATATCAGGAGACAAACTTTATATTTAACAATTTATATTATAATTTAAGATATAAAATTTTAAAGTTTTAAAGAAAAATTAAATCATTAATAAAAAATAAATAAATTATATAAACATTTAAAAATTTTATAATATGGTTTCGTGCCCCACACCCGCTCCCCTGATCAAACCATGACTGGGGTGGAGTTTTATATCATTGATATCAACATGACAACTAGTTGTCTAGCTTTGCGGAACCAAAGGCAACAAAAAGATATAGAATTTGATACCTTTCTTTATCTAAGATTAAAGTTTAAAGAATCAATAATTAAAAAACTTAAACTCCATCCACTTTCCCTTTCTTTCAACCTAATTTTCGCTTAATATTTTTTGTATCGTGTTTTTTATAATTTTTGTTTAGTCGGTGACATCCAGTGGCGGAAGATAAAGAAGACTAGAGGGGACTATGACCGCCCTAAATTTTATAAATTTTAAAAAATAAAATTTAGGCCTTAAAATTTTAAAATATTTAATATGGTCCCCATAAAATTTTTAGAAATCTATATTGAATTTTATTTTATTTTTTGAATATTTTTAATTAAATCTCAACCATAATTTTTAAAAATTCTAATTAAGCCTTTTAAAATTTCAAAATTTTAATTATATTATACTCCATTTTTAAAAAAATTGTAAATTGTTCTCTTCAAAACTTTTTAAAAAGTTTAAACTTCTATTTTTTAAAAAAATTTAAGTTAGTCCCCTCAAACTTAGTCCCCTCAAACTATATCACCAAGTTATGTCACTGGTGAAATCACTAATCTTAAAGTTGGTTACCGACCGTTGGTGACTATTAGTTCTATTGTTTTTTATATTATGTATTTTTTTTTCTTGAGTTTTTTTAATTTTAAATAAGAATCTCTCTCCTTGGACACTTTTTTTCTCTGCTATTGTGGCTTGGACACTTTTTTTCTCTGCTATTGTGGTGCGATCCTTATATATTTTGATATGTTTTTCGCATAATTTTGGGGTCGTTTTGGTTTTTGTACAAAAACTATCACTGCATTTATTTTTTGATTGGTTTGTTGGTCGTCATGTACAGTCAGATCATCTCTTTTGGTAAAAGTTTGTTTACCGATGTAATCAGAATTGTGTAGTGAAATAGCCTGTTATACTATTTGGTTCGCTCACCCTCCTTTATCACTTCGTAAAACGTCTCATTCGATGGAGACAAGGATTTTTTATGAAGGATATTTGGTTTTGATGTTGGTCGTCCTTCTTAATGAAATGTTTTATTTTTCTTCGTATTTTAGTGACTATTATCTCTATATTTCAATGTGTTGTAATTTTGATTCTTTTTATTATTAATGAAATTAAGTTGCCATTGTTAAAAAAAAGTTAAAAAGAAGTTAAAAAGAATCAAAAGGAATGATAGTATACTCAGTGATAAAAAATTATTGTTTTGAAAATTTTGAGTTTAAATAATTATGTTTATGATTTATATATATATATATCAGTAAAATAAGAAATTTTAAGTAAATATTATTTCATAATCATTCCCAGCTTATTAAAAAAATTAAAGAAGTAAAGGTTGCCGACCCTTTTTAGCTGTTCGTAGGATGCGTATAAATTGAAAATGGGGAATTTTAGCCTTTATCACGCATTTTGAGACATCTCCCACATCAGTGGACGTGGAGCATTAACTTAAAAATGCCTTGCATATAAAGTCGACTTCACTAATTTAAGAATAGAAAAACATATTGCAAGCTAATTGAAAGCTACACTTACAAGGCATAGAAACCTACACACACAGCACTTTGACACAATTTTATTCATATTTTTTTCAGTGTGCTTAGTTTGAGATAGACTGATAGGGCCTGACCAAAGGTATAAGCCCTCCACTTAGATGGAGGGACATGACTTCATTGGTGGAACCCACCAGTTTTCCGCCGATGAAGACGGCCGGAAGCGGAGCGTTACACCCCAACCTCATGACCGCCCTCTCCATTTCCCTGCCTTCCGGGTCTTGGTCGAGCTCGTGGACTGTCGGTGTTACCCCGATCTCTTGGAATAGAATCTTGAGAGCATAACACAGGCAACATGAACTCTTGCTGAATATCACTAAACCATTCTCCGAGACCAACCTCATCACCTTTTCCATGTTGGAAAATCCTGATTCACACAATGCTAATTTGCTTAAAGAAAATGTTTCTAGTTGAAGTCCCCTGGTTACCTGACAATTTCCTGTTATCGATATCGGAGTGCAGTGGATACAATGGTGGTGGGAGGAGGAGGCGGAGTGGGGGATGAGAGAAAATTGTTCAAAGCATGAGGTTGCTGGAAAATTAAGCTCCATGCTAGAGTATTTATAGGGACAAGACTCGTTATTTTCAACTAGGAGTGAACAAAACTCGACTCAACTTGAAAGATCAATTTTTTCGACTCAACTCGAATTGACTTCCAGTTGTAGTTTCATAAACTCGACTCGAAAAAATTTTAAGTTCAAATCGAGTTGTAAAATACAACTCGAATAACTCAAAGATTTAGAAATTAATGGATTGGTTTTCAAGTTTAAATTTAGAGTCTTGACTCTATATGATATATGTATATCACATATGAAAAAATATGTATATATTGTATATGATTATAAAAAATCATTTAAATTGGAATCAAATAATAACATAATATTATAAATATTTACATTTAAATTTAAACATAAATTAAATAATTTGACTAGACTCGACTCAAAAAAATTTCAAATCAACTCTGAGTTGTAAAATAAGATTCTTCAACTAGAATAACTCAAAAAAAAAGTACGACTAGATCGAACGCTGAAGCCAATTCAACAAAAGGAAACGTGCTTTACCTGGATGCTAAAACCAATTAAATTACTTTATAGGATTGGGACTACTTATTTTCATGGGGGCTCAATGCAACACTTTTGGGCCTTCGGTGCTTCTTTCTTTCTATTTTGCGCCCACCAACTTGCATGATTCTTCCCCACATGCATTTAGGCTCACTTTCCCTTCATGCATTATATATATATATATAGCACCATCACATGCGCTAGTGAGCCTCGAAACACACGTGGGCAATGAGAACAACTCTTCCTTCATCGATTTGGGACAGGATTCTCCATTCTCATTGCTATCTCTTACTGCAAAAGAATATAAGTAATCGGCTTTAATAATATTAATGATTCTTCATTACCAGAAACAACAGTCAACCGCATTTCTGCTTCGTGGAAACTTTATTCCCTTCTATTCTATTCTCGAGTGGGATCGATCATAAGTTTTATTTAAGGCCATGCCTTTATGTTTGTTTCCGATAGAAAAGAATCCTACGAAGTCAAATGCTTCATCACTTATCATCATTCTCTGTTTAATTAATAGGTTTAGGTTATTCTCATGAAGTTCTTGTTATTTCATACACTATATTGAAGGAACTCAACAAAAAAGAAGCAAAGCCAATGGAGTAGGCAATAAAGTTGTTTCCTTTTTATTTAGTTTTTACATGGTTATTGCTAGAACCATAAGGCCTTTGCATTTATGAGCATTTGTTTGAGTGATCCATCTACATGAAGCGATATGACATCTTTCGCTGAACCTACGAATCTTCCACCGATGAACACAGCTGGGACGAGGGATCACACCCAAGCCCTCGTAGAGCCCACTTCATTTCTCGCTCACTAGGATGGTGGTCGAACTCATGGATCGCCGGGCTAGCACCGAGCTCGTAAAATAGTGTCTTGATGCTATAACACATGTAACAAGAGCTCTTTGTGAATATCACAGCAGCCTTCTTGGATGCCAAATCTCTTACCTTGTCCTGTACCTCAAGCCAAATATTAAGAAAGATGAAACAGGGAAATAAGTGAGCAGGCTTATGTGTGTGCGCTGAGGCATAGCTCTGGTGGAGTTTGAGATTGCATCATGTCTTATTTATAAGGCTTGTGAGAAAGGGGCCATCAATGACTAAAATCTGATATGTTATTATGCTTCTCATGCAACTACATCATAACCAGCTTATATAGCAGCTATGGCTTTAAGCTTACTCAATCTCTTAACTTCCTATAACAACATTCATAACAGAATCCAAAACAATCATAACAACTCACACGAACTCACACCACACTCAATGCACACATTAGTAGTGCATGTTCTAGAATCCACTGCATATTCTAGAATGCATATTCCAATATTCTCCCTACTCTTTTCCTTCTTCTTGAGCAAATGAGAAAACGAACACTTGGATCGGAAATGTCGATGCTTCCTTCCGTTCGACTTGAATCGGAAGTGTCGATACTTTCTTCCGTTCAACTTGAATCGGAAGTGTCGATGCTTCCTTCCGTTCGATTTGAATCGAAAGTGTCGATGCTTCATTCCGTTCGATTTGAATCGGAAGTGACGATACTTCCTTCCGTTCGATTTGAATCGTCGGTGCACCTTGAAGGCTGAACGTGCTCGACACACACATGAATCCTCATCCTAATACTCATGTTTCCCACCTACTTGTTGACTTCAACACCGATGACGCGTTTCGTGACATTCCAAACCCGACCAGTGCTGCCGTGGTAAAACTTATGGGGCATACCCTTATGAACGGCGCCGTTTCCCTTGACGTCGACATAGTCGCCGATCTTGTAAGTCTTGAGATAAGTGGACAAGGGAATGTAATCCTTCTTTCTGAAGGGTCTGGAGAATGAATCCTTTGTTTCAGAGCGGGCACCATGACCGGCTGCATTTCCATGAAGTAGAAGGAACCTCTTTCATCTAAAAGAAACTCAATAGTTCCTACACCAATGTAACCAATAGAAGCTGCAGCAGCAACTGTTGCATCACCCATGGCCTCCCGTAACTCTGGTGTCAATGCTGGAGAAGGTGCCTCTTCTAGAAGTTTTTGATTTCGTCTCCGGATGTTGTAATCATGCTCACCCAAGTGAACAACATTACCATATTTATCTGCGAGAACCTGGAACTCAATATGCCTAGGGATGGCAAAAAAACCCAAACCCGACGGGGAAAATCGAAAACCGAATTAAACGGGGACGGGAAAAAATTGTTTATGCTAAACGGGGACGAAGACGGGGAAAAACCGTTTATGCTAAACGGAGACAGGTTTGGTAATCCCCGCCCCGATTACACGATTACCCGACCCGATAAATATTAAAAATAATTATTATATATATATAATATTAATAAATTTAATTTAAATTAAAAAAATATATGTAATATTTATATATTTAATTTAAATATATATATACCGACCTGATACCCGTTTAAATAATCGTTTATGCTAAACGGGGATACCCGTTTTCCCGCGGTTTTCTTCGATTACCCGATGGGGATCCCCCTTTAAATCCCCACGGTTTTTTAAGCGAGGACAGGTATGAGTTTTTTAATCGGGGACGGGGACACCAATACTCGGCCCGAATCCGGCCCGTTGCCATCCCTAAATATGCCTTGGATTCTGAATGTACTTCTCCAAATAAATTCCAGCATTTCCAAATGCAGCAACAGCTTCACTTTTGGCTTGTTGCAATAACTTCAAAAACTCATCAGGTTCTTTAGCAAGACGCATCAGAGGAAAATAAGAGGGTTGTAGAAAATTGGTGCATGCATCAAAGGAAAGTGGCAATCCAATGGAAGAAGCAACAATAGTTGAACTGATTTAGATCTACAAAAAAATGAAAATAACAGCAGCGGATGAAGAAAAACAAAGACGTCAGGATCTTTGGCGAATGATACCATATGAGAAAGGGGCCATCAATGACTAAAATCTGATATGTTATTATGCTTCTCATGCAACTACATCATAACCAGCTTATATAGCAACTATGACTTCAAGCTTACTCAATCTCTTAACTTCCTATAACAAAATTTATAACAAAATTCAAAACAATCATAACAACTCACACCACACTCAATGCACACATTAGCAGTGCATGTTCTAGAATGCAATGCATATTCTAGAATGCATATTCCAATAAGGCTTGGGGAGGGAGAGTTGGATACTGCATTAATTATTTAATGCAAATATATATATATATATATAAAGTAACATAAAAAGGAAAGAAGTTCCTTAAGATATTTGAACAATGTCAGATATATAATTAATAAGTTAACCTTTAAACAATGTCAACTATGAAATATAAAAGCACTTTCGGTACTGGTTGGTAACCATGGCAAGAGTAATAAATATAAAATATTAGGAATAATGAGACTTTAATGGGATCAAAAAAATAAAATATTAGTAATAATACATTAGATTGATTGTTTTTCTCAGTGTAGTCTATTCTGAATGCCAATGATGGGGACCAGAATAAGCTACTTTTCTCCTCGAGCCTGAGATATCGATATCATCTGCACATTGTTTAATCAGCATGACAGTAACACTGATAGTAACTGAGAAGACGCTAATTCTTAGCAAACTAGTCTTGTTTTCATGCATTATGGCATTTTAAGTTTAAATGATGGAATTAGTTGCAAGAGCAAGACATATTTTAAAACTGTCTTCTTTTGGAGTTTCATGCTACTTTTTTTTATAGGTTATAGTGGTGAAATTAGCTTGATGACGAGGGATAAATAAGAGTTTATCCAATTCATTGCAACTTTATACATTGGTCCCTTCGGTCCACATTTCAAAACTCATGTTTATATATATATATATTTCAATATACAGTTTATGTATGTCTATTTTAATATTAAATCTTACTAAACTTATAAAATATAAGTTATAAATAGAATCTCTAAACCTTAAAATAGACAAACTTGAAGTATCATGTAATTTTTCACATATATATAATGTTTTATTTGATATATGGATTGTGTCAAATTTAATTTATATGATATAATTATTTTAATTATACATTTTAAAATATAAAATCATATATCTTAAATAAAATTCCTAAACTTAAAATACACATATTTATATAATCTAAAGGGTAAACAACTTATAAATTAGATAATATTTTATTATGTATGAGAGAGAAAACAAAAATAGTTTAAGACGACAACAAATTTAAGAAAAGATAAATGTCATGAAGAAAGTTACGATTACTTTTATTGCAAAAGTGATGACTCATAGCCATATATCTCCTATATATGGGGAGGATTCCTTATATTAATGTAAAATTAAGTGAGTTTTGTATATTTTAATAAATTTTTTAATTAATACATTAATATTTAAATCTCAAATTCTATTTATAAATATCAAATTTTGTGTAAATTGAAAATATATGACAACTTAATTTATGTAATTATGTAAAAACTTTGTAACCATTAAATATATATTAATAAATATATAATTTTATGTCGATATG